TGATTTCACAAGAAAACAGTGGCAGCGCCAGCACTGCCTGACAGTCATATACCATTTTTTGCCATTTCCTGAACAGCGTATTTAAATGCACAGATGATAAACATCTGTCTATTTGACGTCAAATCCATGTGTTTGACGTTTTATTCAAAGTGTTTTTCACAGGCTGGTTGCTTGATTTACATAAAGCTGAGCATTTTTCAGTTAAGGTCTGTGATGGACCGAGCAGTGAAGGAAACCAGACAATCTCCTTTTGCTCCTCTGCCACTCCTTCCCATTCTGTGCATGGCTTGATAAGTGAAGAGGGGGGAAAAAAACGAAAATAAATCCTGTGCCTTCAACTGCTGATCCCACTCCTGACACCACTTGTGATGTCCCGAGCAGTGAAGGAAACTTAGGCACAGGTTAAAGTCCAAAAAAATGATTTTTTATTTAACCCAAAACACATAATTGGTTAAATCATGCAAAAAGAAGAGGTCAAAATAACAAAACTCTACTCAAAGTTGACAACACTACTGATAACTCAAACAAACTGACCTAACTTAACGAGACAAAGGGGAAACTTAAATAGTGGCTGATCAGCCCACAAAAACAGGAGAAGGGGTAAAACACACAAAACCTAACTAAACCAAACATAATGAATTCCAATTCCCCCCATGGTCCCGAGTTATGGCATGAACCAATTTGCAGTCTTCCTTTAAAGCTCGCTCCGCCCCTTTTCCACCTCTTGGCTCCTTAATCAAGGGACTGGAACAGCTGCAACTAAGGTAACTCAGAAAAAAAAAAGATTAATCATACATAACAGTGTAAACTAAAATGTGCGCACTTATTTTAGAATGCAGTGTTATGTGGGTATGTGAATGAATTCTAAACCAAAACCAGTTATTTATTGTACCCTAAATTAATTCCTATATTTAAAGAAAGACAAATGTGAATGCGATGTTACTTATAAGCCTCTACACTAACATGGTGGGTATTACCACTGTGTGGCTGTAAGTGCAATCGGAAATATTTCCTTGTTTATATTAATTCATAATTTTGCA